TATATATATAAAAGATCTTTCTTTGTATTTATTTTAAAGTGTTATTGACATTAATTTCATCACTAAAACTTATTTGAATGATTTTTTTTAATTTTTTTATCTCCAAATTGTTAAAGTTAAATGATCAACTAATTTTAATTTGACTGAAGTATAAAAAACATCGTATTTTTTAAAATAAAAGACTAAATATTTCTGTTTTAAAATAAAAAAATTATTAATTGATAAAAATAGAAGACAGAAAAGTGTAATTTAGTCCAAATGAAAATAATAGAGGAACATAAATATAATTAAATTTTTTTATTTTTATCTTTTTTGAAAACAAAAGTTCAAAATTTTAAACTTGAATAGCTACTTCGATCAGTTTTTTATTCATGACTCGACTGTTACAAATTTAATTCGTGATTAGTTTGACTTACACACAAACGCATGAAGCTGATTTTGTAAATACACTATTAACTAATTTTTTTTATAAGATATTAACTAAATTGAAAATATCATAATTTGTATTAGATGATGAATTTAATCCTTCGTTAAATGTAATTTTTTTTAAAATCCTTTCATAGTTTATCTTTTTTGGACAATAGGACTCGTACATTTTCTTAATATAAATTTTGTAGATACTCATATCTATTTAAACAAATGTTTATTTTTTTCATACATATATAGGACTAAGGATTGAACTCCGAAGTCCCAACTAATGTTTAAAGGAAAAGATTATTTACCAACCATACTACATCTTATAAATAATATATAAAATAAATAGTATACTATATTTTAATCATACTCACACTTCCCTTCTTCAAATACTAAAATTTATAATCAACTATAGATCTTCAAGACCTTGTAATCAATTTAGATTTATTAGAATAACATATATATATATATATATATATATGTGTGTGTGTGTGTGTGTGTGTAAAAGATGAATTTGAGTTAGGGTTTCTGTAAGTAGACTGAGATAAAAATGGATCTAAGTTGGGGGAAGATTGGAAGAACCCTCTCAACATAAAAACTGCGATCTCTCTCCCTCTCTTGAATTTGTTATTGTTATCATTCCCCTTTTATGACTCAACAATTATTTTATTTCTTTTTTTTACTATGAATTTAATTTTTTTAATTTTTATATTATGAAATTAGGATTTTTATATTTAAAAAAAAAATAACATAAGACGTTGCAGTATCTTAAAATTCAATACTAAAAATATTTCTTCACGAGTGAATAATTGAAAGCAATTAAAAATTAAAAAAAATTATTTTGTACCTGTAACAAATTTCAGATATTTTTATTTCTCCCAATTGATGTTTGTAAATTTCTACTTTAGTACCGATATAAAATGAAGAGACATATTTAGTTATAAGAGAGTAGGGTAGTTGTCCCACTATTTTTTTTAATCATTTATAAAATTATAAATAAAATATTTTAAATCACAAATTATAAAAAATTTGAAATGTTTAAAATAATTTTTAGCAGGTGTGAGACTACATAACTTTCTTCGTAAAGAATGTTATTATGATGAATTTCCAATTGAAGTGATGGACGAACATTCATCTTCAACATTACTGATTAATAAAAATCATATTTTTGAGCCTATTATTAAAATACAGGAGCAAGAGTGAAAAGATACTAATGTTTGGAGGACTAGTATAACTATGAATACGTAGGTAAAACTGAATTCTATTTAGAACGACATAATATTATGAAAAATTATTATTATTATTTATTCAGACATTATTATTTTTTTATTATTTTTATATTTGACTCTTTTTAAATTTGAATGTATGTGAAAAAAAATCTTGAATTCTTATGCTATGTCAAAAATTTATGAAATTCAGTAAAGTTCACAAAGTCCCGCAAAATTCATTAAAATCCTAACTTAAAAGTCTTGCATAATTCATTAAAATCTTGATTGAAAGTATTGTAGAATCCTACAAAATCTTAAAAGTCACGAAAATCTTACAAAATCTTTTAAAATCCACGTAACTTTTTTCGACTAAAATAATTTTTTAAAATCGTAATCCAATACATCCCATTACAACATTCAAAAATGGTTGCCCCTGCCTCAAACTCGATGATCGCGAAAAGATGTTCCCTTTACTACTTTGAGTCTTCATCATTTGATGGAAGACGTTGCTGTAAGAAGGAAGAAGCCTAAGAACGTGGTCCAGATTTTCACCTACAAGGGTTTATTATATTACTATTTTTTTTCTCTCCACTTTCTAGGTTCACTTATTAACTCTTTGTTTTTTGCTAGTCAAAGAAATCGCTCTTGATGACTTGATGCGTGACGAAGAAACACCAAACTCTCATTCTCCTTTGTCTTCCCCAACAAATAATGGTTTCAAAGTTAATGTAATTCTTCTCTCTACTCAGCGTGTAATTGTAGCTTCCTCGTGATTGTGGAAAATTGCTGGCAAATTAAATGTGACTTTTGCGGCTACAATTGTAGTGACAAATTGGAATGTAGTGGTGGAGACCATGAAAACCTTGATATTATGACTGCAATTGTGGTTGTGGACTGCTTTTTAAAACCTTGAATTAGGGTTTGGCGTTGAATCCAAAGCAAATTGAACTTTCAATGAGGAAAACTCATAATTAGGGGCTGCATCTGTTTCCTGTAGAAGGTCAACATCTTCCTTTTCAAGTTCAAGTACATTTTTTTTTATAATTTGTCTCAAGAAAAATGGTGGATCTTCTAGTAGTAATGGTGTTAGAATTAGTCCTGTTTTGAATCTACCACAAGCTTATATTCTCAAAGGCATTGCTAAATTTTTTGGATTTGGTTCTCTGTTTTGTAATGGAAAGAGTATACGAAAAAAGAAGCAGGGGATTTAATTTTTTTGTTTACCTTTTAATTTGTCATTCATGATCAAATCCTTGATGGAGTTATACTGTTGTGTGAAAATATTTGATTGATTCATTTATCAAGTAATACAAGGGGACTCTAGATCAACTGTTCTATAAGCATAACTTTTAGTTGAGTAATCATTCTTGAAGGTTAAATGGGCTATATGTTTTCAACTTATCCATGAAATGCCGAGACTGATTAATTTCAACAGACTAAAACAATAAGAACATTTCCAACTTTTCTTGCATTATTATTCATGTGAAAATTTTGCATTTATTCTAACGTGTGCTTTTGTGATCAATAGATTTTCAAATGAAAAATTAGAAGTAAGACACTCTGAGTCTATGGTTCCTACAGAAATGAAATCCATCACACCTTCTCATCCTCTTGAGGTACATGATCAATTAATAATTATTATGTGAGCATATTTAATATATTTTATAAAACATACATTTTCAAATAGCTTGTGGACATTTTAAAAATCTTTTCTGGTGTTTTATGCACGTGTATATGTTGCATCCCTTGGAAATTCATGTTTACATAACATCAACTTTCCTATAAGCATTACATAATGTATTTGTTGATAATTTTTGTGAGTAGATAATTTATCTTCAAACTTCACATAATAATAACTGTATGTATTAAAGTCTTGTCAAGATTGGATTCACTTGGTCAAGTCATGTCTGAAACATGTATATATGAAAAATCTAAAAGATGGGTTGGCTTTTGGCAGGATTAACAATCATGTCTCCATGATAATCATATTTTGCATTGCTTTGGTCTTCTAGGCACGTGAACTCTTATGTCTTCCCATGTATTCTTATTAATTTTTGGAAAGATTTATTTAGATTTGTGTAATCATGTGGCTGGTCACCTTCACCATGTTGACCCTTCACTCTTGCTATTGTTATTTGTTAATTAGATCACTTATTCATGTTTTTAGCCCTCTTAAATATAAAATTTGTATAAAAAAATGGTTTATGCTTGGGACAATGGTGGTGTTGCTGATTGCCAGTATTGGCACAAGAATCTTGGGATCAAGGTAATATAATTCTTTTTCATATCACCTTTGTGTTTGATGAATTGCGTCGATTGTATTAGATCAACTTAGTTTAATTAACATGTCTCTTGAATCTGATTTTGTATGCAATTACTACAAGGTTAATATTGGTTGGAGTCACATAGTATATATCCTTCACTTCTTTGACTTCTGCTTCATTTGTTCCTTGAGTGACCAAAAGTAAGTAGACAGGGTATGTTGCTTGATACTTCAAGAAGTTGAAATCCTGCAAGTGATTTCATGTTTAATGTTACTTTTATTTTCCCTTTCATAGGTGGTCTTTACTTTTAAAGGTTAGGCCTCACAAAACTGTGTTTCAGCAATAATTTTAAGATAGGGTGCTATTTTTTGGAAGTCAATTGTTATATTTGTTTCCATTCAAAGAAAAGGAATTACTTGTAATAGACATGAAAGTAGTTAATTACTATGTTAAGTGATGCTAACTGATATCATTTTATTGTTGTAAGTTTTGCATTTTGGTTATCATAATTCTTTCCTTTTGAGATAACTGTCTCTTGTTTCATACTCGAAACAAGTTGAACTGAAAAAAGTATAGGAATTAGGAATATTGAGTTTTTTTTTTCTTCGACCATGACTATAATTTTACCTCAGTTATTTTCGTTAACAAATAATGCAAATCTTTATTATGCGAATTAACGAAATGAAATTTCAATTCTGATTAAAGTGAAAGAACTGAGAAAATCAATACTAAGAAATACTAGCCAATGAAAGAATAATTAATACCCTTATCTAACATTACTTTCTTTTTGCCCGCCACCTAAGACCAATCTAATGATAAAATGTAATGTGTTAGCATTTAGCATACATTCTTTAAAGCTGCACTTTACTTAAAAATGGTTTTCTAGACTTCATAAAACCACTCTATCATGAATATCCAATGAACAATACCATAAATATATATTTAGAATTTGCTTAGCATATTCTGCTGTGTAACTATTTAGCAAACTAACCATGTTAGTTTCCGGTTCTTATTTTATATTATTTAGACTTCTGTTGCTCTTGCCAAGAGCCTCTCCAACATGTCTAGAACTTCGTACTATCATTCGGTAATAAAATTCTTTCTCAAAGCTCTTAAGTTTCATGGTTTGTTTTGCTTTTGGATTTTATTGTGTTTATTTTTTTTATTTTTTTTATTTTGCGACTATTTGTGTTCCTTTTATGCAAACCTAATTTTTCTTCACCTTTAGGTAGGATTCATCATAGAGCACATTTCAAGATGAGAAGCAAGTGGTAAAAGTTTTAAAAATTTTATTGTTCGATGTTTCATGGGAGGATCATGAGTATGTCAGATCTGCTTTAGCATATGTTCAAAATTTAGATAAAATTTTCTCTAGCATCACATCTAAGGAAGCAGTCAGAGAGTCATAAACACTATTGTTTTTGTTAGGATATAGTAATTAAGCTACAGTTTGTGTAGCTCTATTGTAGATTATATATTGGAAAGGTATCTATTATATGAAATTTTGAGAAAAGATGAAATAATACATAGAGTAAATAATATCCATCTTTCCTTTTGATGGTTGGAATCAGATAGGTATAACTATGTATCAAATTCAAAAAGAATTATGAAAGAAAAGTTTAAGAAGAAAATTGCCACATGCCATTCACTCGATCTGTTGATTCTTAATCAGCTATGACCAGAAACACAATAATAGAGACCAGATTCATATCTTTCCTTTTTGCCTTATTTCATTTCGTTGTAGTTGTAAATCTTAGAGGTGGGGGTTCTATGTCCATGGCCCTTAGCTTTGTTTCTCCGCTTTGGTTGGCCAAAGACAAAACTCTTCTTCATTTATATGTTTGTTTTTCTTTTGGAGACTATTATGGTGTAAAATATGAGGACAATTATATTTTCATATTCTATTTCTATTAAGTCCCGTGCATAATTGACCAAGTGTGAATCAGGCAATTAATTATGTTGAAATTATATTTAATAATATTTTTCTTCTCTATTTTGATAAAAATCTTTCTTATATGAAATGGTCTAGTATAATTTTTTTTATTCAAAGTTTTTTGAGATACGTAATAGGATAAAATACCTGAAATTTAGAAAAGGGTACATTTATGGTATACGACGCTAACAACTACATTTGACATTTTATGCTAAAAAAGAAAGTTGCAGGGACAACAAATTAAAGTTTGGTTGTTATTAAGGTGCTTTTCCATTAAGGAAATTTTAGATGATAGCCACGATATTATTATAATAGAAGTGTACCACCAAAATGTTAATAAAAAATAACACCAAAGGTTATTTTTAGGGGTTTCAATCTGTCCAAAATATGAATAGAAAAGGAAAAATGAATCCATATTTTGGTGGTTTATTATTGCCAGAAATTGTTGAATACATGTAGAAAAAAGTTCTATTTTGTGGCAGTGTATAATTGCCATAAGTAGTTGTAACATGGAGAAAAAAATAGCATTTTGTGGCTGTTTCAAACCGCCGAGTTTGTTGAATACATACAATACTAAATTGCATTTTGTGATGGTTTCTAGTAGCAAATACCAGCAACCAGATAAAATTTGCTACAAACTGGTTTTGGTGCATGTAGATACGACCATTTTAAATACTGGAAATACCATTTTTGGTGGTTTTTTTTTTTTAAATTGTGAGATTATGATTGTGTTTCATGTTTTGATGGAATTCATGGATCTAGACTTAGAACTGTGTTTTTGATTAAGTTTGTGTTGAATTAGGTTGATTGAGAGTTTGAATTTATTGTTGAACTGTGAAAATTTTACCGTATGGATTGAAACTTGAATTGATATTTTTCCGATTAAATTTCTGATTTTTAATTCTCTATTTTGTTGATTAAATACTGTGTTGAAATATTAAACATCTCTTTGCTAATTGTGTGGTAAAATACGAATTAAATGTGCTTGTATCTTTATGAAGAATGACCTATGTTATTTCTTGTATTGTAAATTTTTAAGGAAAATCTAGTTTACTTTTGATAGTGATTCGGCAATGCTATCAAAATGGTGTCTTTGTCGAGGACATAAGTCACTGTGTTATGATTTCATCATGCCTATTAACTATTTGATTAATTGTTTTTGTATCTACTAATCTTTGTGTTGAGTGTTAATGATTTGATTTTTTTTCCTTTTTATATCTATCTCTATATCTACCTCTATTTTCTTTTTGTCTCTATTTTGGTCTTTAACATAGGATGAAAATAGGGGAGAACAAAGGACTAGTAGGAGTAGTACAAATCAATGATATATCTATTTTTCGTCTCTAGACCCCAGTTAGAATTTTCATTTCTTGTTTGATTGAGGTGAAATTTGGTTTCCAAAGGTAAAACGTGATTCTAAGAAAACTTACCCCTTTTCGAGGTAATTTGATCTTAGAATTGCCAAATTCCTTCATCTTTTAGAAGTTTCAAAAAAATTTCTAATAGGGGTATTTTGGTCATTTGGTTGAAGTAGCTTTGATTGAGTTGAAATTTTGCCAAAATGCATCGAAAATTCATGCATCAAGGTGCTCATATCACAAGGCGATTGTAGGTAGTGAGGGTCATTTTTGCCAAATTCCTTTGTTTAAACCACTTTTCAATTTTTTTTTGTTTTTGACATTTTTAAAAATCATCAAAAAAATTAAAAATAATAGGAAATATGATATGAAATGATGTTCTAGTGTTGAAATATTTTTTAAAATTCATTTGGTAGAGTTTTCAATGTTATAGGATTTGTTACATGTATATTTGACTTTTTGTTGACTTTGACTTTTTGTTGACTTTTCAATTCTGTAGTTATGTGTGTGCCTTGTATGTGTTCCGTTATGTATGACTAGTTCTAATCTTGGAGTTTTGTGTGATTTTGATCTAGAGATAGAAATAACACTTCATAGGTTAAAAGTTAGGAATAATGATAATGTAGTTACTAGTCCTATAGTTATTAGTCCTAGTTTTGTTGATCCTTTTATTTCTGATTTTCATTCTTATAATTCTGAAAATTCTAAAACTAAAAATATGGATAACAATCGTGAGTTGACCTTGAAAGAAGTGACTACACCTAATGTTGTGTATCAACTATGGTGTGTCCAATATCCTAAAAATCAAGTTAATTACGAGCTTAAATATGAGCCAATCCATTTGTTTAAGTTTCATGGACTTGCAGTTGAAGATCCTCATAAGAATTTAAAGGAGTTCTATGAAGTTTGTTCCACCATGAGACCTCAAGGAGTGCTAGAAGATCATGTCAAAATGAAGACATTTCCTTTATCTTTGGATGGTGCTACAAAAGATTGACTTTACTTTTTACCAGTAACCATCACTACATGGCATGAGATGAAGAGATAGTTCCTTAAAAAAAATTTCCCTACCCCTAGAACTGCAATAATTAGAAAAGAGATTTATGGAATAAGATAGCAAAATGGTGAGACTTTGTATGAGTACTAGGAGAGATTCAACAAGTTGTGTGACAGTTATTCTCATCACCAAATTAGTGAGCAATCGTTACTGGAATATTTCTATGAGGGATTTGTATTGATGGATAGGAGCATGATTAATGCAGCTAATGGAGGAGCATTGATGGATAAAATACCACTTGTTGCAAGGCAACTCATTACAAACATGACATCTAATACTCAACAATTTGTATTCAGATGAGATGTTAAGGGAGTAAATAACTTGGCAACTAGTGCTAGTGTTGGTGTTGGTTTTGTTTCTGATACAAATAATCAAAGGTGGGGAAATAAGTTGAATGACCATGGTGAGGCATCTAGCAATTGGCCAATAACAACATGAAAGTGCAGTAATCAAGTTTCTAGCAAGAGTATGTGGCATTTGTGCTTCCAAAAAACATCCTTCAGATGCATGTCCTATGTTATAAGAAACAAATGCTAATGTTTCTAGAATGTACATTAGATAGTCAACAATATAGACCTCCACAACAACAATAACAAAATTATAATTCACTCTCAGACATACAATCTTGGTTGGAGAGATCATCCAAACTTGAAATGGGGAAACAACCACAACAACAACAACAAATACCATTCCAACTTGTAAGTACTAGCCTCCATTCAAGCAACAACAACCTTCTCCTCCTACATGAAAGAGTAGTCTTTCATTTAAAGACATGATGCAACAGATGGTTGCCAACAACATGTAGTTTCAACAAGAATATGATTGCCAATGTCCAAGATATGAAGACTTAAGATTGGATAATTGGTCACTACAATCAATCAACTCCAATCACAAGGTTCTAGTAATCTTCCTTCCCAAATAGTCATGAATCCAAAAGGGAATGTTAGTTCCATTATCTTGAGGAGTGGCAAGGAGTTACCACAACTTCCAAAGTAGCAATTAAGTGCAGTACTAGACTTTGATTCTTCAATTGTCATTGTAGAAAAAAAAAATGATGATGTAGTAGCTGTGAAAAATCAGATTCCTCTTCCTTTCCCAAATAGAGCAGTAGCAACAAAGAAGATATTTGAGGCAGATAATGAGCTGCTAGACATGTTTAAAAAGGTGAAAGTCAATATTCCTCTCCTTGATGCTATCTGACAGATTCCAAAATATGCTAAATTCCTTAAGGAATTGTGTACCAACAAGAGAAGGTGTGTGTAGTTGCCTAGGAATCCTATCACCCTCCTTGGACCCCTTTTAGCTGTAACTTTTCTAGAACCTTCCCACCTCTTTTTAAATAGAGACCGTCTCTAATGCCCCTTGCTACCATTCCAAAGTCTAAAAAAAATTTCAAATTAAGAGAGTGCTAGTGAGAGAAAGTATTGATAGAAGGGAGAAAAAAAATGGATAGGAAGATCCTCCCACTACTTGTCACACCTAAGAGAGGTATGGGTGGGGAGGGATTTTTGCTTCATCATAGTCTTGTTTCTATGGGCGAGATGCGAAAGGTTTTGGCTCCCAAAATCCTCTCACTCTTAATTGATTTTATAGATTCTTGTATATGTGAATGAATCATTATATTAGTAAACTGTTTGATCCTTTTTGTTTGGTTAAAAATATGGAAATTTTACCGCCTATCTATTTTGTTATATCTATAATAGTGTGTTTGGATGGAGAATTTAAATGGAATAATTCATTTATTTGAAGAATTTCAAATTCTTTGAGGTGATATACCTTGTTTAGATGAAAAATTTCTAAAGAATTTGAAATTCAAGCATTTATAAAATTCCTTGAAATAATAGAATTTCAAATTCTTCCAAAAGAGTAAGAATTTGAAATTCTTCATATTTTTTTCTTCTTATTTCACTTGTATATTTTATCTTATCTCTTATCTCTTCATGTTTTTAATTATTGAATATTCAAAATATATTTATAATTATTAAATATTATTTAATATTAATTTTTAGAATTATTAAATATTTAAAAATTAGCTAATATTTATTTTTATAAAATTTAATTTAAAAATTTCAACATATAAATATATTTTTTAAATTAATTTTATCATGGTGGAATCAAATTATCATATCCAACCTAATAATTTAAAATTTAAGAAATTTGAATTGATTTATCCAAACAAAATATTTTAAGAATGATAGAAATTGAAATCAAAGTAATTCAAATACCAAGAATTTAAAATTCTTTGAATTTGTAAAATTCTTCATCCAAACACACCATAAATGTTCCTGTGTTTTAAAAATGCTTGCATGCCACATTCTGTACATTTAATTTTTTGGATCTATGTTTTTGTTAAATTTTATGAGTTTGTATGGTTCAACAATGGTGTGGAATAAGTAGTATAAAGATGAAAGAAAAATGGTGCATGATGAGTCTTATAGTAACTTAAGCATTTTGCGTGGAAAAGTTGTATTTTTACTTCCCTTTTTCAAACATTTCATTTAGTCTTCACATGGATTTAAAGAGCATAATCTCTACTTTCTTGTGTTTGTTTAGGATCTGGAAAAGATCTCCAGATGAGAGAGTTATGACACTCCGAATAAGGCCTTGTCATAAAATCGTTTTTTTAAAGCTGCCCAGCAAAACATGTCTTTATGAAATATAATATTAAAATTAATTATTTCTTAGCCGAATGTTATTTGAGAGATAAAAATTTATTGGTTTTATTAAATAAAATAAATAAAATCAGTCAACTTTGGGTTGAGTCAAATGTAATGTAGTGTTACACACAACACTATTAAATGAAGATAATATATGACGAATTTCAATTAAATGATGGTAAAAAAATATTTACAATGTTGGAGAATAAATTATTTTTTACTTTTATAATTAAATTGATGACCATTTTATTTAAAACTTAACATCTATATATTATGTTACATCAAATATTTCAATCGAGTTTGATACTCGTTGGCGTTGATGCTAGAACAAGAGTATGGGCATATTAAGGTCTGAAGCCAAAACAATAAATAATATAATTAAAAGCATTAATTGCATAGTCAAATGAATTACAATAATTACGTCAATGTGAAGTCATTAATAGTTACCACATTTGTTAGTAATAGTCATTATCTATAGTTGGCAAAATGCCAAGATTGCTTTCTTTCTTCACATTCACATTCAATGTTCTTTACTCATTCAAAAAAATCATAACTCATCAAAAAAAAATATTTAATGTTCCTTTTTGTTTAAGTACTTATGTTTCTTTTTAATTGTTATTTTTTTTATAGAACTTTTTTTCTATTTATTTATCTTTTTAAAGTTAAAAAAATTAATTACATTTTTGTTAATTATATATTTACATTTACCTAACTTTTAATTAATTTAAACATTAACCAGATGTATGTATTTATTATCGAGAAAAATGAAAGAAAATATAATAAAAACATCATAATTATTTAATAAAAAATAGAAAAATTTATTATGTTTCATAATTCGTGTTTAACAATTTTAAATGAGGATTAAAATAGAACGGAGGTAGTATGTATTAACATATATACTTGCGAATTTTTTTCTTATAACATATTCTTTGCTTGCATAATTGGCCTTCTCAATCGATCTAATTGGTTGACCAATTCTTTCATTAAGTCACACATATAATTGTTTTATTGACCAGAAAGCAAAATCATGATAAATTCGATTGGAGGAAGAAAGAAGAAACTAGAAAATGAAGAAAAGATGGAATCAATGTCATTGAAAAAGAGGATAGAACTTGCTCAAAAAGAAATAGAGGTTTTAAGGAAGGAAATAGAAGACCTTAAGACATGGGTACGTATATCTTCTTTTAGTTCTTTCACCATAACTTTACTTTCAAATTTTTAGTTTTTTTTTTCAGTTAATTAATATTTTTCAAGCTCTTTAATTCTCAAAATAGGCGTGTCTACACGGTAAATGTAAATTTCTGAATCTTTTTTGTTTTATTTCTTTCTATTGAAGTCTTTATTTTTCCACAGGTTGGTATGATAGAGACCATGAAAGACGAACAATTAAAGGAATATTTAGAAAATCACGCTGAAGAATTAAAATTGACAAAGGGTCAAAAGATCAAGAATAAGGTAAGATAGTTTGATATTATTTAAAGATGAAAAGATAGAATTTGGGAGGAAGTTTAGAAGAAGAATCGTAATAATGTAAACTTTTAATTTTTTATTTATCCCAGATTCGAAATTTTTACTCATTCAAAAGAAATTAATTGAAATAATTGAAAGTATAATTTTTTTTATTTCACATTATTTATGATAAATTTCTTGACTTTCATAACAACTATCTTAAAAAGTAACACAAATGATATTTTAATAGTTGATAGTTTAAAAATTTTTGTAGACTATTAGTTCAATTACAATTAAACTCATTTCATATAAACTAATAAATATTCAAATAATTAATTAATTTCATTATTTTTTTAGTAGATTACATTTCTTTCTTTAAGATACACAAATATTATATTTCTCTCTTTTCTTATTCTAAAAAATTTAGGTCCTTGCCTTGACACTCTAATGTATGACTCCTTATCTTTTAAATTTAATTTTCACTAAAACATTATTAAGTTTCATTAAAAAAAATAAAATTATTAACAAAATATTTTTTATACTAATACCCCTATAAAAAATGCAAAATATTACACTACTCTTTTTTCTTTTATAACACCCCAGATTTCTTAAATAAAAGAAAACAAAAAATTAAAATATTAATTAAGGTGTTTTGAAAATTAAAAATAAGTTGATAGGTTTGAATTAAGTACTAATTATAGTGTAAAAATGATTTTAAAATTAGATGTTAGCTTCAATAAAATAATAGTTATAAGTATTATAAGAATAGTTTTGAAAATAAAAAGATTAAACCGATAGCTTGTGTTTTTGAAATAAAAAATGTTTAAACTATTAGGTTTGGTCTCTAAAGTCTCCTAATATTCCTATCTTTTATTTTATCTCTTTGAATACTCTTCTTTTGTTATAAACCTTATGTAGAGGAGCTTGGATCTGGCGGAGAAAGAGATCACACTGTAGCGTTCTCACCTTCATAGAAGCATTTTCCAAGCAAGGGATAGTGAAACTATCTCACTCATGTGAAATAAATGTGGGTAGTGGAATTGTCCCTCAATCTTGTAAGTTCTATGATGTGAGTTTTGGAGGGATTTTGAACACTCAAAAGTTGTGTTGAATCTATATGTGATTTGGTAGGAGTATGTGTTATGCTTATTGTATACTTGATCATTGTACTTTTGATTGAATTGAGTTCGATGATGGGTTTGCTTTCACAATTGGGATGGTACCCTAAAAGCATGGGTGTAAGTTGAACGTGCATTGAAATTGAACATGACCTAGTTGAATATGTTTATGGTCGTCTTAAGTGTAACATAGATGTGCTAGGTTTAGCCACAAACATTCTTCTTTTAAACGCATAATTAGGCTTATTGGTATTTATAAGAGTTTGAGCATTAGATGCTACATAACTAATGGTTTTAGAATTACTCAAAAAGATGTTTAGAACTCAAGATATGATCAAATTAGTGAATAAATAGTAAGTTGTCAAAGTTAGAAAACTATTTCATATTCTCTGTAATATAAGAATTGTAGATAATTTTATTATCTTTCAAATGAGAAAAAAAAAAGTTAACTTTATATCATTAGTATAACTATATATCATGTTTATACTTCATAAAGGTCATAGATGCATAAGAGAAAATAAAGAAAAAAAAAATAGAAATGTATATATATTAAGTAGGAAACCTTAAAAAATATGAAGAAAGTTTAATATAATTGAGGACATATTTTGTCAAGTATATATTTGTGATACCTTCTACCCCACATGCTATAATACACAAATAATAAAAATTGAATAACATAACTTTATAAATAAAACTAAATGTATTCAAGTAGGAAACATCACATTATTAACTTAACAAAATAACATACTCAGCTGAAATTACAAGGAAATAAAACTAATATTTTTCAAAATAATTTAACAAAACAACATCCTAGTCTAGTCGTAGAAAGCTTCTAACTATGTCCCGATATCATATATCTTATCAGAGCAATCCAACATGAAGCCTAAGCCTCATTGCCAATATCTTTAGGGTCATGTTGATCATCAGTTGCAAAATCAACACAAGAGCAATAACAAAGACAAAGAAAGTGAAAAATATCTCACTTTAACTCACGTTGTAAGAACGTAAATCAAATAGTCAAACACAAACAAGACATATAACAAAGCATAGCCATACACACTTCTCACTCTAGCTCATGGAATGAAATAAATAATGAATAGCCACACAAACTCCATTTATAGAATAGCATTGTATTTATGACTTGTACTACCTCAACATATAATACAAATATAATAAAGAAGAAAATTATTTATAACTTGAGTAAAACGGTTCACATATAAAACACTCCTAAACATCCAACCAATTTGAAACAAAATTTAAAAAACAGAAACTTTACAATTGTATCCTGTCGCCACCGGCCCGAACGGGCTTTCGGCATTCGCGATTGTCTGTTGGTTCTGTGCATCTCAATCTTGACCTTCGTCTCAGCGTCTAAGTTTAATGCTTTGCTTTTCCTTTGATCTGGTCAACAATGTGAATAGACAGACATTGTTTCCGTTTGGAGTGTCTTTCAGTTTGTGCTATCCTTCGTCTGATGCATGGTTGACTTTCTTCTTATCTTTGTCTCACGCTTGGTCCATTTCTTCACGTTGTACTGGAGGTTATTCTTGACACACATCCATCTGATATTGGACTCATAGTCGTCTGGTGCACGTATTTTGTCTATTCAATTGGCTTAAATTGTCTGGTTCTCATGATGTGTCTTGCCTTAACTGTTCTTTGACAAAGTTGACAATCTGGCTTCTTCTGATGTTTGACACCACTTTCCTTGTTCTAGGTTTGGTCTCTCTTTGGCTTTTCTTCTGATACTCCAATGTCTCTTTCTAGTATTAGTATTCATCTAATGTTAGTTGAATGTTCTTCCATCCGTGAGCAGACCTCGTTTTGATGCTTGACTAACCATCATCTAATTCTCTTATTTAGTTTGCACACGCTTCCTTAATTCTTCCATTTAATGCATCTGATCTTGCATTAAATGTTTGCTTGTTGAATATATGTTTCATGGAGTCTTTTTGTACTGTTTATTTGCTTTTATATTTGGCATTAATCATGACCTAGATATCTCTGTACTTTCCTGGTGTTGTAGCTACAAAGGCATTGTCCTTTGCTGATTGGTGGGTGTACTTGCTTTGACACATGCAGCTTTGATTTGTGGATAAACACTAGTCCTATTTTGCTCTTCTCTCTTCTTCTATTTTGATGACTTTATGTGTTCTTCTAAGAGTGTGGATGCTATGTAGTTCTTCTCATTGTCACTTCAGATGCAATCCAGCCTTCTTGGTTTTCATCTGTGCATTTGAGTCTCTGTCTGGTCAGCTTGTCATCGTCCATGGTCTTGTATCATCTGAGGCTTCATTATTCTTGTGCTGGGCTTGATTTTGTTGGATCTCCTCATCTGAAGTCATGTTAGCTTTTGCCCTTCATCTTGGTTGCTTGTGTCCTGTTCTTTATTTCTTTTATGGGTGTCTTCGTCTGATGTATTCCCTTCATTTGATCAGCCTTTATCTAGTGCTTAGCTCATATCTCTTGGTTCTAGTGTAGATGGTAATAATGGATATCCTCTATTCTTCAATCTGCCTATACTTATATCTGAAACCCTAAAACACTTGTTAGAAATAACAACATGTATTATATTTGTCTCATTCAAAACCTTGTTGGGAATTGCTTTCGTCTTCGTCTGACTTAACATGAGGAACCATAATCACATTTTATTCATAATCAACACAAATCTTACAATTAACACTATGTCAAGGTCACGCCTGTAGCCTCTTGCCCAAGGTCGTGCCATCTTGACATAAGTGATACATGTTAATTGCCTCACAGATCCCACACTATGTCAAGGTCACGCCATCCCTGTAGCATCACTTACCCAAGGGTCGTGCCATCCCTAGTCATAAGTGTGAGGAAACACAATCACATCACATTCACATTCAATACAACATCTCATTTCATGTCAACATACTCACATCATAATTAATTGAACAATTAAGTCATAATATACCATTCGCCACGTCATCTTATCAATTCAATACTAAAACGGTAGATATAATGTATACATTTGTGCCAAGACATCACACCGCATTCCATAACTCAATTCCATATCACATACACAAAATAGATAAGTCCACACAAAATAGTGGTTCAAATACCTCTCAAGTAGTTCACCATGAATCCACCTCTAGATCATCAATTTTTACCATATAATATAACAATAACATTTATAAATTAATATAATACTCAATTGAATCACTAATTTAATAGAATCTTAACTCAATTAGTAAAACCCCCAATTTTTCTAAAACTTAACTCATAGGTACTTTTCTACAATTTCGTTATCTCTCCCTGATCATCATTTTTACAAATTAATTGCATATTCCTAATCCTCAATACATGCAAAATCTAATGGGATCATCAATTTCTCAAACAAAAATAATTATAAAATTACCCATAATCCTACGGGATTCCTCCTCTACCCAATTCCCTCATGTAACTTTGCATACAAATAATTCCCTTTTTCCCTGTACCTCGATAAGCAGGATCTAGTTGGTCTCCTCCTTTGGGTTCCCCTCGGTCTTTAGAGAGTGTAGAACAAAAGAAGTCAAAAGTGAAAAGTGTGTTTTTTGGGAGTGTTAGAGCGTGCTATTTATAGGCATCAGGAGTGGCTGGAACGGCCCGTTCTGGACTCATTTGTCATATGTAAAATTCACATCCAGAATGGCCTGTTCTTAAACCAGAACGGCCCATTTTGGTGTTACATTTTAACCCATAACGACCATGTTTGGAACGACCCGTTCTTAAACTAGAACGGCCCATTTCCAACTAGGGTTAGAAGCCTTTTTGGTGATGTGGAACGCCCTGTTCCAGTTGGGAACGACTCGTTCCCAACTAAGGTTTATAAGCCTTTTTAGTATCGTTCCAGTTTGGGAACGGCCCGTTCTGGGCTACTAAATCACCCTTATTGGGCTTTGGGCCTTCATATAATTTCTAGAAATTATGGTGTTACAATTCTTCCCTCCTTTTAAAAATTTTGTCCCCGAAATTTACCTGAAAATAGAAATGGGTAGACTCCTCGCATTTTGCTTTCTTATTCGTAAGTCGTAATCTCTCTAGTCCCCTTTTAGAAACTATACTTGTTTGAAAATCTATATAACCTCACTACCTCACTAATGTACAACTCTATCAATTTCTCCAAGGAATATCTATTATCAATAAGGGTAAGACATGTAAACTTGGTGAGTCTGTCCACTATAACCCGAAAAGATTCAAATTTCTTAAGCATCTATAGGCAAACCTACAACTAAGGTCTATCTACACACCATCTCCCTTCCAAAATGGGACGTCTAAAGGTTGTAAAAATCCTAAAGACTTCTAGTGTTCTACCTTAGACTTCTGGTATACTACACACGAGTACACAAATTCCTTTATTCCTCTCTTCACCTTATACCTCCACGCTTTCGTTGCACCACTCTGATACATATTAGTAGCTCCTAAATGAATGTTAAGAGTACTCTTATGTCCTTCCTCTAAGATCATCTTCCTTAATTCAGGATTACTAGGCACATAGATTCTATCCTTGAACCCTAAAACACCATCAACTTCCACTCGTAAAGGGCTATCTATACCCCTACCAATCATCTCCACTTGGTTCACTAAGAAAAGATTTAACTCTTGGACTCCTCTAATCTCATCCATTAATTCACTAGTCACTTTCGACATACACAATTCAATGCTCTTAAGGGTAGCTCACACATCACGGTTAAGTCTCTAACCTCCTCAATCAAATCCAACCCTTACATCATCAAAAATGATAGATGAATGATCATCCTACTCAAGGCATCTGTCACAATATTAGCTTTACTTCTATGACCCTCTCCAAAGATCAAACACCTAACCATAAGTTCACTAGGTACACATACTCGGTCTCAAAGTCTTACCACTCCATCTATACTTAAGGCAACTCTTATCCATTACCATGTCCTATAGCCTCATATCTTGTCACCAAAATGAATCAACTAATTATGCTTCTCCAATTTCTTTCAACGATCCACTTGTTACTCGAGTCATACCTAG